TCCCTATCCACGGAAGTGAGTTACGTGCGTTCAAGTGGTGCATCTTACGAATCTTGTGAAGCTTTGCTGCCTTACAGCCCCACTGATGGAATATTTAATCACAGAAATGAGCTGGCAGATATGATATACAGTGTGCGTGAGCTTTGCAGCCATCTCACCACAGCAAGTGAGAAACGGATGACTTTGCCATTTGTCAGGACCATGTCGACAACTGTGTATAGCCTTCTGTTATTTACTTTTATTTTGTTTTACTCATGTATGAAGATTAAAAGTGCTTCCAATCAGCAGTTTTATTGGCTAGCTATCATGACTATCCCTTAAGAACATCACTTTTTTTAAAAAAAAAACCTTTTTATTAGATGGCAAAGGGGACTTCTCAGAATGACAGGAAACTCTAAGAATCCCTGTTGAGGCCTCCGCAGCGGGCTTCCTAAAAACCCTATTTTTAATTACACGAAATAACCTGAGAAATGCTACTGGGAACAGATATCTGCAGACATTTTACTTCTACTTAGTGCCTTCAGTTTTATTTTGACTCTAAAATGGAATGCCGTACATGCTGGCTAGACTTTGAAACTCACCTGGGCATTTTTTTGTATTGACGTATCAATCATTTGTCATGAGAATAAGCCTCAAGCAGTCTGAAGATGATTAGGCTTAGGAAAAATAATCAATGCTGCTGCTCAGCTTTATAGGCAAACACCCACTTGTCTTTGGAGGAGATTTATGTATGTTCATGGAATATGCTGATTTAGGTGTATCTGCTTCTGGAAACTGGTATTGGATAAGCATTTAAAAGAGTTCTTGCAGGTAGAACTTGATGCGAGTTCAGAAAAACCACCCCCAATGAAAGACCTTTCATAACAGCTTTCTAAATGCTTCTCTTAGAACGTGTGTGAGGGAGAGTGCATGTCATAATTTATCAAAGCCAATTAATACTGTTCAGCTAGTAATTAAAGATCCTCATTAAGAGGTATAACTGCTCTCCCCACCCCCACCCTGCGTGAGCAATAAAAACACACTCCGGGCGTCAAGAGGTTACAGACGAAAATCGATAACCTGCCATTTTATAATTAAAGGGAAAATAAATGTTAGGGGAAAAGTCCACTAAATTAGGAAAATTACCTTTAGGAGAAATTGAAAATATTGATTTTAATTTACAAAATATGTGCACTTCTCATGCCCCATTCTGAGAGACAATTGGAGGCTGGGTTGTTAATTCTGCATTAGCTTCATAAAATCAATAATTATACTATGGGAATATTGTGATCTTTGTCATTAACACAAAGTCTTATATATAGAAATGACTAATAAAATAAGGCTGGCTCTCTGTGTCAGGCAGATACAGGGCTGACCTGTGAAATACCCACAGCAAATCAATGACAAGGTCTTCATTTCAGCTCTGGGGGCACATTCAAAATTCCAAGATAAATCCAGACTATGTTTGTAGTTGGGGAAATTTAAAATGCCCCCTAGATTCTTAGTCATGGGTATTTAAATGGATAACATGAGGCATTATACCTGGTTATGGAAATGAATACATTCTACAGCTCTATTTTGCATATATGCATTCCACAGATACAGGTGCCTGAAATTTTAGATTTAAGCTAGCAGGATTCTCAGTGTTTATGGGTCTTCAAGTATTTAAAAGGAATTGTTCTGGAGTGTTGGATCTGCAGCAACATTTCCCCACATTTCTGAATATCATGAGCTCTGTCTACCTACATAGACAAACATACAGGCTAAAAGAGAAAGCCTCTGATTATCAAGGATAGCCCAGATATTGGCAACACCAAACACAAATATTCAGATTTCTCAAGTAACATTTACTTCTCCGTGCCCCCCCATCCCCCCCCCCTTTTTTTTTAGATTTACGTTTACTGAAGCAGCTCATAGAAATAATTATTTGGTTGTCCGGGGGCTCCTGAGAGCTTCCCGGGGCATCAGCAGTTAATATGTCTGAATACTGTGGTATCTGGAATAATCCAAAATTATTATCTTACTTCTCTTCTTTAATTTGACTGATTTGGAGAGAGCAGTAGCGTGATCTACTATCACAGGGCACAGTCAATAAGAATGATGACTTTTAACATTCATAAAAAATAAAGCAAAGTAACCTAGTTGCAAAGAACACAGGCTCTTGATTTTAGCTGGCTTTTTACCAGCTGTGAAATCTTAGCTCTGTGATGCAAACCCTTTGTACCTTAGTTTCCACATTTGGAAAACTGCCATGAGGATTCAAACACATTAATTTAGGTAAAGTGCTTAGAACAGTGCCTGACCATAAAAGTACTCAATCAAGAGTAACCCTTATTACAACTTATTTCTTCCCCATAATCCAATGATTTTTTTTTTTTTTTTTGCGGTATGCGGGCCTCTCACTGCCGCGGCCTCTCCCGTTGCAGAGCGCAGGCTCCAGACGCGCAGGCTCAGCGGCCATGGCTCACGGGCCCAGCCGCTCCACGGCATGTGGGATCTTCCTGGACC